AAATTATATTTTAAATTTTATAAGAAATAATTTATATTTTATCACAAGATTATTTTATCTATTGATAATTTATTTTAAAAATATTAAAATTTAATTTATAAATAAATATAATGAATAAAAACTAAAGTTGGTATGAAGCAAAGAATTTCTAAAAACTAAAAGATCTTAAAAAGACTCTTAATTAGTAAGATAATTGTTCCTATTTAATATATATATATATATATATATATATATATAATTGATTTAGAATTTGTTATAAATTTGAAAATGTCTTCTTTAAGACAAATTGACATTAAAATAGTTGATTGTATAAAATTTTAAAATATTCAAGTATATCTATATAACTATTTTTGATTTCTACGTGGACTATTATAACTTTTTAATATTAATTATTAAGAAAGAAAAAGAAATCGTTAATCCCTATGTATTAAACATAATTTTTGATCTTACACAATAATAGTTTTAAGGATTTTTTTTAACAAGAAAATTTTTAAGGAATCGTTTAATTTCTTATCTAATTAATTTTTTATTTACCATTATTATTTGTAAATTAAATTTTAATATTTTTAAAATAATATGTATTTATAAATAATTAAATATTATATATACATATATTCAAATATAATATTTATTAGAATATATAATTTATTATAATTTTTAGTTATAGCATGTGGATAATATATAATCTAATATACAAATAAATTTTAATGTTTACTCTAATTAACTATCTATTTTTTATTTTGTTTTAAATTTTTAAAAATTAAGAGAGGTACCTCTTTTTCCTACTAGTAACATCTTCAATGTCATGTTCTTTTATACTATTTTGAAGATGAAATTCGCAAACTAATTTTGTAGATAATTAAAAAAAAATGTTAGATAAATTATATTTTTGGTTTTTTTTTATTTTTGTTGATTCTCAATTTTATTCTCTCTATTTTAAAATAAAGATTTTAGTCTTTTTTTTAAACACAAAAAAAAATTATACCATTAATTTGATATTAGTTAATTATTAAATTTTAACATTGTATGTGATTTGTCACTACTTAAGTGACATAATATTTAGTAATGTGACATATAATAATAAAAATAAAAAAACATATAAAAAATCTTTGTTTATATCTATTTTTATCAATGATTAATATTTATTTTATTAATAAAAAATTTATTTACATATTTTTTAGTTTATTTTATTTCTAAATGTTATATTACTAAATATCACATCTTTTAAGTATGATTAAATGTTAAAACTTAATGATTAATAGATATCTATTTTATGAGAAGATCGAGATTTCATATTTTTTTAATTAGAGGACTAAATATCTCTAATTTAAAATAGAGGAATTTAAATTGTAAAATAATAAAAATATATGAAATAAAAGTACAATTTAACTAAACTATATATTATTAGGTTTTATTTGTTGAATTTTTTAAAATTTCAATGAATTTGAAATGCTTAATTTTTTTTTTGTAAAAAAAAATTCATCATCTATGTATAAAAAAAAATCCATCGCTTTTTTTTTTATAAACATTTTGTTCGGAAAAAAGTAATTTCAATTTCTTAAATTTTAGATAGTTAATTTAGATAGAAAGCAATTTCATCATTTGCAATTCTTTTAGTTGTATGTTTAAAAATTGAAATTTCTTATTAAACTTATCAAAATAAAATTCAGTATTAAATTTTGTACTATGATGTTGGTGAAAGTATCATCTGATTTCTCTCAAGACCTTGGTTGTATTAAGGCTATCATTTCTCGTTCCATTTTTTTTATCAAATCAAAAATTAAATTTTAGAAAAAAAATTTATAAATTATTTATAATATAATTTTTTTAAGTGACAAATTATATATATATATATATATATCAAAATAAAATATGTAATATGATAGCTAAATTTGTATTAAAAGAAATTAACTAAAATAATAAGATAATAATTGGTGTTAAATATGTTAAGTAACCAAATATTTTAGGGTTTGTATACTTTTAATTTTTATTTTTGATATATGATTTTTTTTTTGAAGCAAAGTTTTTGATATATGATCTTAAACAAATAATATAATGTTATATATTTTTAATTTACTTTTAAATAACAAAATTTAAAAATCATAAAAGTTGAACCAAAATAAATTGCATTGTTTAGTTTGATTCATATTTCATAATTTATTCAAATCAAACCAAATTAAATCGTACTTAATGTTCTTATTTGGTTTAAATGACTTTTAAGATAAAAGATCAAATCACATTACAAACATCTCTAAACATAAATACCCTACTAAGTAGACCATTATTATTTTTACTAAAATAATGATAAAAGAATTAATGTTAAATATATTACATGACAAGAATATTTTAGAATTTGTATACTTTTAGTCTTAGTTTATACGTAAATAAATAACATAATATTATATATTTTTAATTAATTTTTAAATAATAAAATTTAAAAACCACAAAAATTGAACAAAATCAAGCTATAAAATCTTGATTTAGTTTGATTTAGATTTCATAATTTATTTAAACCAAATCAACTAAATCATGTTTAATTTTTTTATTTGGTTTGGGTGAATCTTATTTTAAGAATCAAATCAAATTATATGAGAAACATCTATAACCATATATACCCTACTAAATAGACCATTCTTATGACGTGCATGTGAGTATAAGGTAATTACAACATCAAATTATCGGTTGATTTTGATTTTTTAATTGATTATCGAATATTTTTAAAAATTTATTGTTTAATACTAAAAAAATTTCATATAAATAAACTAAAATTTAAATACTTTTAAATTTATATTCATTTCATATTTTATATTTATTTGCAAATACTTATAAATATGTACAGTTTATATATTATTAATCACATTTTATTCATTTCGGCACTAAAAATAAATTAAAATAACAAATTAAATATGAGAGTGATCAACTAATGACCATCCAATTTATTGATTAAGTGTTAGTTACATTTAATTAAATTAAAGAATAGCAATTAATAGTCTTAATTGCGTAGAATTGTCATAATATTAATTCGTGAAATTTACTGCAGACTACCTTTCTGTTATTTTTAACATATTTTAAATGAGTATCCAGATTAATAATAAAATAAAAAGCTATTAAAATTGTTTGCAAGAGTCCTAAATTTGTTGTTGTGATTATAATTTTTATAAGTAAAAAATTTATTATTAGAGATTAATCAAAATGATCAATTATATATTTTAATTGATTATTTGATAAAATACTTTTTATTTTATAGATTGTTTAATTAATATTCAAAATTTTATAATTTATTATCTATTATAATTGTAACAACCTTAAATTTAATGTCTCAACAA